CATGCGACTAAGATAGATACAAGATATTCTTCTTCATGCAAGATAGATTACAAGGAATTCTTCTTCATCATGCGGCTAAGATAGATTACAAGGAATATTCTTCATCATGAGGCTAAGATAGATTACAAGGAATATTCTTCTTCATGCGGCTAAGATAGATTACAAGGAAAATTCTTCTTCATGAGGCTAAGATAGATTACAAGGAATATTCTTCTTCATGAGGCTAAGATAGATTACAAGGAATATTCTTCATCATGCGACTAAGATAGATTACAAGGAATATTCTTCATCATGCGACTAAGATAGATTACAAGGAATATTCTTCATCATGCGACTAAGATAGATTACAAGGAATATTCTTCTTCATGCGACTAAGATAGATTACAAGGAATATTCTTCTTCATGCGACTAAGATAGATTACAAGGAATATTCTTCATCATGCGACTAAGATAGATTACAAGGAATATTCTTCTTCATGAGGCTAAGATAGATTACAAGGAATATTCTTCTTCATGAGGCTAAGATAGATTACAAGGAATATTCTTCTTCATGAGGCTAAGATAGATTACAAGGAATATTCTTCATCATGAGGCTAAGATAGATTACAAGGAATATTCTTCTTCATGCGGCTAAGATAGATTACAAGGAATATTCTTCTTCATGAGGCTAAGATAGATTACAAGGAATATTCTTCTTCATGCGACTAAGATAGATTACAAGGAATATTCTTCATCATGCGACTAAGATAGATTACAAGGAATATTCTTCTTCATGAGGCTAAGATAGATTACAAGGAATATTCTTCTTCATGCGACTAAGATAGATTACAAGGAATATTCTTCATCATGAGGCTAAGATAGATTACAAGGAATATTCTTCATCATGCGACTAAGATAGATTACAAGGAATATTCTTCTTCATGCGACTAAGATAGATTACAAGGAATATTCTTCTTCATGCGGCTAAGATAGATTACAAGGAATATTCTTCTTCATGCGGCTAAGATAGATTACAAGGAATATTCTTCTTCATGCGACTAAGATAGATTACAAGGAAATTCTTCATCATGCGAATAGATTACAAGGAATATTCTTCATCATGCGACTAAGATAGATTACAAGGAATATTCTTCTTCATGAGGCTAAGATAGATTACAAGGAAAATTCTTCATCATGCGACTAAGATAGATTACAAGGAAAATTCTTCTTCATGCGGCTAAGATAGATTACAAGGAAAATTCTTCTTCATGCGGCTAAGATATATTACAAGGAATATTCTTCGTCATGAGGCTAAGATAGATTACAAGGAATATTCTTCTTCATGAGGCTAAGATAGATTACAAGGAATATTCTTCATCATGTGACTAAGATAGATTACAAGGAATATTCTTCTTCATGAGGCTAAGATAGATTACAAGGAATATTCTTCATCATGCGGCTAAGATAGATTACAAGGAATATTCTTCTTCATGCGGCTAAGATAGATTACAAGGAATATTCTTCATCATGCGGCTAAGATAGATTACAAGGAATATTCTTCTTCATGCGACTAAGATAGATTACAAGGAATATTCTTCTTCATGAGGCTAAGATAGATTACAAGGAATATTCTTCTTCATGCGACTAAGATAGATTACAAGGAATATTCTTCTTCATGCGACTAAGATAGATTACAAGGAATATTCTTCTTCATGAGGCTAAGATAGATTACAAGGAATATTCTTCTTCATGAGGCTAAGATAGATTACAAGGAAATTCTTCTTCTTCATGCGGCTAAGATAGATTACAAGGAATATTCTTCTTCATGCGGCTAAGATAGATTACAAGGAATATTCTTCTTCATGAGGCTAAGATAGATTACAAGGAATATTCTTCTTCATGCGGCTAAGATAGATTACAAGGAATATTCTTCTTCATGCGACTAAGATAGATTACAAGGAATATTCTTCATCATGAGGCTAAGATAGATTACAAGGAATATTCTTCTTCATGCGACTAAGATAGATTACAAGGAATATTCTTCTTCATGCGACTAAGATAGATTACAAGGAATATTCTTCATCATGCGACTAAGATAGATTACAAGGAATATTCTTCTCATGATGGATTACAAGGAATATTCTTCTTCATGAGGCTAAGATAGATTACAAGGAATATTCTTCTTCATGAGGTCTAAGATAGATTGAATATTCTTTTTATGATAAGATAGACCTCGGGAATATTCTTCTTCATGAGGCTAAAATAGATACCAGTACAAGGAAATTCTTCTCTCATGAGGCTAAGATAGATTACAAGGAATATTCTTCTTCTGAGCGACTAAGATAGATTACAAGGAAATTCTTCTCATGCGACTAAGATAGATTACAAGGAATATTCTTCATCATGCGACTAAGATAGATTACAAGGAATTTTCTTTATTCAGACCTGCCGCCTGCAGGTTGAGAACTGCTGTGTTATAAGAAAGAAGTAAGTAGCAGACACAACAATGCTACAGCTGGGATCTAAAACAGAGCATGCTGGTCTGTTGCAGCTAGCCTTCACTGCGGAGATGGCACCTGATTGATTCATTGAGCCTGTAAAAGGACGCTTTTCAGGCATATTGGGCAGGACAAATTTTATAGACCAATCAGCACTCAAAGGGTAATGTGGTCACCACCCTGCCAGGACTACCTGGTGCCCAGTGATGGCTGATTGACCTGAGAGTCAAGGGTGGATCAGAACCTACAACCTACGGATCTTTGCAGACGAGCGACTAGTCGCTACACCACACACCAGCGGCTCTCTACCTTCCTAACGTCTAGTCACTACACCATACACCAGCGGCTCTCTACCTTCCTAACGTCTAGTTGCTACACCATACACCAGCGGCTCTCTACCTTCCTAACGTCTAGTCGCTACACCATACACCAGCGGCTCTTTACCTTCCTAACGTCTAGTCGCTACACCATACACCAGCGGCTCTCTACCTTCCTAACGTCTAGTCGCTACACCATACACCAGCGGCTCTCTACCTTCCTAACGTCTAGTCGCTACACCATACACCAGCGGCTCTCTACCTTCCTAACGTGGCAACCCTTTAATACAGTTCCTCATGTTGTGGCGACCCCCAACCATACAATTATATTTGTTGCTACTCCATAACTTCAGTAAATATGTGTTTTCCTATGGTCTTAAGCGACCCCCGTGAAAGGGTCTTTCGACCCACAGATTGAGAACTGCTGTGTTACACCATGGTGGCTCTCTGACTGAGTATGTGTTTATTGCTCTTCTGACAGTGATAGATGACTCCTCCCTTCTGACAGTGATAGATGACTCCCTCTTCTGACAGTGATAGATGACTCCCTCTTCTGACAGTGATAGATGACTCCCTCTTCTAACAATGATAGATGACTCCCTCTTCTGACAGTGATAGATGACTCCCTCTTCTGACAGTGATAGATGACTCCCTCTTCTGACAGTGATAGATGACTCCCTCTTCTGACAGTGATAGATGACTCCCTCTTCAATGACAGATGATAGTGATGGATGACTCCCTCTTCTGACACAATGATGACTCCCTCTTCTGACAATGATAGATGACTCCCTCTTCTGACAGTGATAGATGACTCCCTCTTCTGACAGTGATAGATGACTCCCTCTTCTAACAATGATAGATGACTCCCTTTTCTGACAGTGATAGATGACTCCCTCTTCTGACAGTGATAGATGAATCCTTCTTCTGACAGTGATAGATGACTCCCTCTTCTGACAGTGATAGATGACTCCCTCTTCTGACAATGATAGCTGACTCCCTCTTCTAACAATGATAGATGACTCCCTCTTCTGACAGTGATAGATGACTCCCTCTTTCGATCGACAGACTCCAGCTTAGAGAATGCCTCCATCAAAGACATTTACAGAGATTCCTCCGGAGCAGACATTCCTCAGTTTATGAAGGACACCCTAACCAAGTCAGCCAAGGATAAAAAGACAATCCTCTTGTATGAGGAGCAGCTTCTGAACTTTATCAACACTGAGAGGTAGGTGAAGGAGCCACATCCATGACTCCCCCCCCCCACATTTTCATAAGATGTGCTAAATATACCATGAGAGGTGACTAGAAGGTTAGTGGAGGGAAGGGAAAAGATGCGCACAAATACTACTGAACGTTTTCGACCAGTCTTTATCAAGAGGTTACTAGAAACAACACAAACTGTGAGTGGAAAACAACAGACAAGACAACAGAGTTGTAAAAAAACAGAGGTCAACATAAAATTGAGTTAAATGTAATAGATAAGAAAAATCTCATCTTAATCCTTTTATACCTTGTGTTGTAAAAGGGGGGGGGGGGGGGTATAATTTACAGGAAAGTGCACTTCATAAATGCTGATTCCCAGAGACTCATTTAGCCTCTCTGTCCACGGTTTGTATGTTCAGCCTCTGCTTCACTTCCCACCTGTCCTGTAGATCATTGCTTGCTGTGCTATACAGTTTGTTGGCATCGCATTATAAACCAGTCCATTTCACTTTTTGTTTTCTAATGAAAATCCAAAATTGTTCAGGCGCAAGGACATTTTTATATTATCAGATTTTCTCCATGTCTTATCCAACACCTGCATCTTTTCCTCAGCTGGCATTTATTTAGTTCTCTACAGAAGCTGCACATTACTGAACCTGGTATTCATTTAATTCCCTGTATTTTGCACGTTGTTTCATATTGATGTGTGGTTGACGGTGAATGATGTGTGATTGACAGTGGATGATGTGTGATTGACAGTGAATGATGTGTGATTGACAGTGAATGATGTGTGATTGACAGTAAACTATGTGTGAAGACTTGAACGACGTGTGATGACTTCATTAGTGAATGGTGGGAGGTAACTGTAATAGTAATAGGTGTGTGGTAACTTTAACTGAGAAAGGTGTGTGGTAACTTTAACAGAAGAAAGTGTGTGGCGAATTCAACAGAGAAAAGTGTGGGGTAACTTTATTAACACATTAAACTCACTGTTCCCACCTAGTGCCCAGACACACAAGATGGCTGAGATGACGTCGTACGACCGCATGATTGTTCATCGCCTGGCAGCATTTCTGGGCCTAGACCACAACGTGGACAGTACGGGCAAGTGTGTGATTCTCAGTCGCACAGAAAATACCAGGAGGTGTGTGAACTGTACTAAATTACCATTGCAATATTCTTCTTCTTTATCCTGTCCTCTTCTTCCATCTTATTCTCACTCATGTTCCTTCTTCTTGTAGTTATAGTAAATTTTAAAGAATGTTTCCATCTGAGATGCGTACACGTATTTTATAGAATTTTAGTGAATGCCCCTGTCAGAGATGTGTATAGATATTCTATAGAATTTTTGAGAATGCCCCTATCAGAGATGTGTATAGATATTAAATAGAATTTTAGAGAATGCCCCTATCAGAGATGTATATAGATATTCTATGGAATTTTAGAGAAAGCCCCTATCAGAGATGTGTAAAGATATTCTGTGAAATTTTAGAGAATGCCCCTATCAAAGATGCATACACATATTTTATGGAATTTTGAGAGAATGCCCCTATCAGAGATATGTAGATATTCTATGGAATTTTAGGTAATGCCCCTATCAGAGATGTGTATAGATATTCTATAGAATTTTAGAGAATGCCCCTATCCGAGATGTATATAGAAATTCTATAGAATTTTAGAGAAAGCCCCTATCAGAGATGTATATAGAAATTCTATGGAATTTTAGAGAATGCCCCAATCAGAGATGTATATAGATATTCTATGGAATTTTAGAGAATGCCCCAATCAGAGATGTATATAGATATTCTATGGAATTTTAGGGAATGCCCTTATCAGAGATGAGTATAGATATTCTATAGAATTTTAGAGAATGCCCTTATCAGAGATGTGTATAGATATTCTATGGAATTTTAGAGAATGCCCTTATCAGAGATGTTAATAGATATTCTGACTGACTGACTGACTTTCTACCACCCCACCAGGACATCACACAAGCGATAAACACCCGATGACACAATATGCCACCATGTGGATGAGGATCACCATGGAGAGGTCCCAGAAACCGCGTTCAGACGATTGGCCATATTTATGGCCTGCCTATATTGCGGCCCCTGGCAAAAGCCAGAGTGGGGCTTCAAATTAAAAAAAATTACGTCCTAAAAAGGACATAAGGAATATATAGTATAATAGATATTCTATGGAATTTTAGCGAAAGCTTCCTTTAAAATGTGTAGGATATTGGAATGGAATGTTAGAGAATGCCCTCCATCATAAATGTGTACGGAGATTCCTTTGGGCATTCCCCAGTTAGGAAAGAAGACCTTAAACAAAAGTCAGTCAAGTATTAAAAAAAAAAAGACAGTCCTTTTGAATGGAAATCTCTGTGTGTACATACAGTCAGAACAGAGAAGGTTTTAGCTGCATGGGCTGTGGTAGAACCCCTTCTGTGTGAGTTGTTCACTCTTGAATGGTTTTAAATATGGACGTTCTGCAAGATCTCAACATGCAAGTAAACTGGCTAAAAAATATTATCAGGTCTCACTTCTAGGGCCGCGCGCGCGCGATGCGCGTGCGTGCGTGCGTGTGTGTGTGTGTGGTGTGGGGGTGGGGGGGGGTGTGGGTGGGGGGGGGGGGGGGTGGGGGGGTGGGGTGGGTGGGGGTGGGGGTGGGTGGGGGGGGGCGTGCGTGCGTGCGTGGGGGGTGGGGTGGGGGGGGGGGTGTGTGGGTTGGGTTGGGGGGGAGGGAGTATAGACCCACTGCCCCCTTTCCTTACAAGCATGTTGTAAAAGACAGCTAACTAGGGATGTTTCCTTTGAAGTCGGCATGCATCTGCCTGAGAGGTGAGGAAGCAACATACTGCATATAAATGAGCCAGATCTGTAAAACCGATGTGCATGCAACACTCAGATTCTGGAACAAGTCTGAAGTCCAGAGCAGTGTTGCCACTTTTCTTTGACAAAAAATATCCAAAACTGAGTTTAAAAAAATATCTAAAAACATCCAAATGGAAAGAGTCACAAATTACATAGCAATTGATATGACTTACCCTATAGAATCATGTCCTCATCCTTACTGAAGTCTGCTTTACAAGATCCACAGGATAAACTTAGCTTAGATGATAAAGTTGAAGCTTCAGATCCAAAATGACTCTGGTATGCCTTAGCTGTTCCAGTTTCTTTTAATACACAATCAGGGAACTGATAAGTGGAACAGCATTTTTCTACTCTTATCAGGCCAAAATTTATTTTAAAGATTGCATTTAAGAGGTCAAATGTTAACCTGTTTCTTAGGTTACATTTGATAAATTCACTTCAGATGGAAAACATCTACTATCTAAATGTCAAAAATGCCATCTAAAAGCAATCAAAAACATCTAAATCTGGATGTAAAATTTCCAAAGTGGCAACACTGGTCCAAAGGTGGATAAACAACTAGAACTTTCTGCCAGGTTTTACAGCCAGTGAATGCCAAGAAGAAGAAGGAGAAAAGTTCAGCACTGTTTTATGTCTTCCCCAGTGTGAAATTGTCAGATCTGGTTTTATTTGAGGATGTGGATCAGGAGCCAAAGAAGAAAATCCTGTTGAAGAAGCCACAGAGTCTGGATGAAAAACATGTGAGTGGCAAATTGGTTTGTCGGGGAATTAGTAATTGTGCAACTTTGTTGAATAAATGAAATGTCATGGAGTGTGTTGTGGGAAATTGGTTTGTCAGGGAATTAGTAATTGTGCAACTTTGTTGAATAAATGAAATGTCATGGAGTGTGTTGTGGAAAATTGGTTTGTCAGGGAATTAGTAATTGTGCAACTTTGTTGAATAAATAAAATGTCATGGAGTGTGTTGTGGGAAATTGGTTTGTCAGGAAATTAGTAATTGTGAACTTTGTTGAATAAATGAAATGTCATGGAGCGTGTTGTGGGAAATTGGTTTGTCAGGGAATTAGTAATTGTGAACTTTGTTGAATAAATAAAATGTCATGGAGTGTGTTGTGGGAAATTGGTTTGTCAGGGAATTAGTAATTGTGCAACTGTGTTGAAAAAATGAAATGTCATGGAGTGTGTTGTGATGAGGGGGCACATCAGGAAGAGAATGAGAATAAACGAAGAAATGATTGCAGAAAGGATGAGAGCTGAACATCTGAGAAGAGAAACACTAAACACAAATGTTGACAGTATCGGTCCTGAAATCTCCTGCTATCATTGTGGAAGACTGTTTCTCAATGCGGGCGGGTCTTGCTAGTCACAATCGCCATCGCTAGGGGATGTGAGTCTCATGCCTTCTCCTAGCACAATATATAACTATCGTCTGGAAAGACAGAAATGTGCCAATCAGTTGAATAAATCCATTCAGATGGAATTGGTAAGAGGGGTTATAGAAAGTGGCGTTGTGTGTGTGTGCTAGAAACTTAATCTTTGTTAATGTCATAATACCATTTTTAATTTCATACTTTTGGTATAGATTGGTGTAGAGTGGAAATATTTGTGAGGGACATTTTATTACTAAGAGTCATTTGGATATTTATAACATCATTTGTGGACGATAGAAATTATCACCTCAACCCTTGTGCATCACACACACTTAAAATATAAAAAATATACTACACAACAGCCCGTCTGGCATTTTTCCTTGTAAATCATTAAGTTCAATCTACAGAGACAAATAAGATCAAGCAGACAAATAAAACCTTTAAACATAAATGCGAAATATTAAACCACACCCAAGTGTAACTGTTTGTGTTACCACAGTAGCTGTTATCTTGTAATTACCCCTGTAACACAAACGGTTAGATTTGATCACGGAACCGATATGACACAGTCAAAATTATACCAAAAACTAAGTGTAAACTAAATATCAGCAAGCTCAATGAAAGATGTACACAAATATTTCCATGAAAGTCTTTATCAGCAAACAAAACATGAAGTTGCTTGGCTGTGAAAACGAATTACCGCAAATCTAATAGAAAAGAAACCCTCATGACATACAAATGCTGAAGGGGAGACAAGCTTATCCAAATCTTAACTCCCGTAAGTGCAAGAACTTTTTTTTTAAAAGGTAATTCATTAAAGGGTTTCAACTCAGTGTTGCAGAGGATTCCTAACCAATCAGTTATCTAATGTGATGCAAAGTACCTTAAATCCACATGGTTTGGGCAAAAATCGTCGCATCAGGGAGATCCGAACACATGACACTCAGGTAAGCAAGTGGGTATACCAGCAACTATTTCCCCGTGATACAAGGTGTGGCGAATGTCCAGCCTGCTAGCTGTATAAGGCCTGCAAAATCATGTGACCTGGCTCACCGAAGAGTAAATCAAAATTCAACAACTGGAAAAACATCAGCATCAGCTAACATCACAGGCTGACCATCCCTGTGTGAGTTCTGGAGCTACATTTTAAAGAACAAAGAATGTTGAATCTACATCACAGCACTCGGTACATCCCCATATGCGCTCCTTTCCCATCTTCAGCAGCGAGGGAAGAATTATTATTCCGATAGTACTAGTAACTGTCTGGTTGTATATCCGTCTCGCCTTTCCCCTGAGTGTCGAGCATTGGCCAGATCCCCTTGTGGAGAACAAAGAATAGACCCACTGCCTCCCCTTCCGTAACAAACATGTGGTAAAAGTCTACTAATTAGGGGATTTTCTTGAAGCCAGAGGCCTGCGAGGCAAGGAACCAACAGTCTGCATACAAATAAAGCAGATCTGTAAAACAGAGGTGCAGGCAAAACTCAAGTTTTGGAACAAGAGTAAAGTCCAGATGTGGAAGAATAACCAGATCTGTAAAACAGAGGTGCAGGCAAAACTCAAGTTTTGGAACAAGAGTGAATTCCAGATGTGGAAGAATAACCAGATCTGTAAAACAGAGGTGCACATCAGGCAAAACTCAAGTTTGGGAACAAGAGTAAAGTCCAGATGGGGAAGAATAACCAGAACTTTCCTCCTCAGTTACCGCTAATGAATGCCAGGAAGAAGAAACACAGGACCTAGTCTTCCCAGCATGCATTAATCTGGTAACTCTGAAATGATTCTTTTCAGGGCCGTTTAGGCAAAGTTCCGTTTGCATCAATCCGGGCCAAGTCATTGGAAGAACGCCAGCAAATTTACATAGAAGCTCGGGAGAGGATATTCAATAAAAATGAGGAGGTATGTCTTAAGTACACCCTCAAGACAGGGAAAACAGTTCTTTATTTACTTACCTGGGAAACTACTCATCAGGTTAGCAGGTCGCAGGACGGGGTCAGATTTGGGCTGCCAGATTTTTTTTTTTTTAAAGGAATAGTAGCAATTCTTTTTTTGGGCTTTCTTTTTTTTTTGTTAATGGTACTAACACACACCAAAAGGTAACACCTTTTCAAATATTTGATTACAAAAATTAAAAACAAATTTCTTGTCCATTACATCATAGCTGTACCATTTGTGTTTTGGCTGAGTCTGCTCTGGCGGTTTCTGAATGTAGAGGAGCAATAACTTTGATCTCATCAATGCATTTATTGTTACAGTCTTTAAAGAAGAGTGATTTAAACAATTTTTTTTTTTATTATTCCAGTATTGTTAATTAGAGACAAAACTAATATGTACCACAGTTTTGCTCCGCAAGGGTCAGATAGTATCAAATTTATACAAAAGTACCAACTTTGGCAGCCCTGGGTCAGATTAGGGACTCCCAGGACTAGGGGCTGTGGTTGTCTGACATGTTGCTCTTCTGTTCTCTGTTCACAGCTCTGTTCTCATGTGTTCTCAGCCAATCTGGTGCCCTCTTCACAGTTTAGGTTGGCTGCCGTGAAACTCCAACAAGACTGTGTCTGTTGTCCTGGTTGTACACTCTTGACTGGCTGGTCTTCATACATCTGTGGTGTTTATCCTCCCACCTGTTTCGCTGCTTACACCTTGCTCTTCTGCCGGTCTCCTAACAGCAGTTTGTATAAGTGTCATGTTTTTAATGCAATCTGGATTCATCTTTGTTTTCTTCTCTTCCACCATTAACCTCATTGAGGTGTTAAGGTGAAATGTAAAGATTGTTTATGCGCTTTTCCAATGTATTTTACAATTTGGTGTTCATTTCTATTAGGTTTCTCCTGATGATGCTGTTCCATCTCTTGCGTGGTCATCTCTTGCTCTGTGTTCATTATATTTCTTCAGCGTGGCTCTCTGCGGCAGTTGGTACCAGGGCATTCTCATCAGGTGGCCCATCTCATTTGTTGTTCTTTAATGAATTGTATGTCTGGTTTCAGTCCTAGTCTTCTTATTTCTTCATCCTTGATTTCATCTTTTCTTGTCACACCGGCAGCTTTCTTAAGACATCTCATCTCTGTTGTTACGATCTTCCGCTCATTAGTTGTAGTAAGGGTCCATGTTTGGCACTGGTAGCACAATGTCGGTCAAAAAACCGTTCTTATAAGATTTGCGGGGTTCATCATTTGTCATAATTGTACAGCTTTCTGTTTATTTCTGTTCTCTCAAAAACCTCTGTGATTGATTGTTTTCTTGAAATACAACAGATTCTTTTGTATTGATGGTTTTCAAGAAATACAACAGATTCTTTTGTATTGATGGTTTTCAAGAAATACAACAGATTCTTTTGTATTGATGGTTTTCAAGAAATACAACAGATTCTTTTGTATTGATGGTTTTCAAGAAATACAACAGATTCTTTTGTATTGATGGTTTTCAAGAAATACAACAGATTCTTTTGTATTGATGGTTTTCAAGAAATACAACAGATTCTTTTGAATTGATATTTTTGTCAGATACAACAGATTCTTTTGTATTATTTGTTTTTAAGAAATACAACAGATTCTTTTGTATTATTTGTTTTTAAGAAATACAACAGCTTCTTTTTTACTAATGATTTTTAAAATACAACAGATTCTTTTTATTGATGATTTTTTAAAATACAACAGTTTCTTTTGAATTGATTGTTTTCATGAAATACAACAGATTCTTTTTTTATTGGTTGTTTTTGCGAAATGTGACAGATTCTTTCTTCTGCTGAAATTAATTTACAGTGGATTTGAACCAGTGTAGAATTAGTTGTACAAAAAAATCACAGAGAGTTGCACAACAATAAAGCCACTAGAAATGCCACTGAGGTAGAACATGACAGTTTCTTGGAGTGTGTTGACATTCTACACACTTATTGTGGATGTCTGGTGGCTTCCTACACAATTATTGTGGATGTCTGGTGACATTCTACACAATTATTGTGGATGTCTGGTGACATTCTACACAGTTATTGTGAATGCCTGGTGACATTCTACTCAATTATTGTGGATGTTTGTTGACATTCTACACAGTTATTATGGGTGTCTGGTGACATTCTACTCAATTATTGTGGATGTGTGGTGACATTCTACACAGTTATTGTGGATGTTTGTTGACATTCTACACAATTATTGTGGATGTGTGTTGACATTCTACAGTTATTGTGGATGGGTGTTGACATTCCCCACAATTATTGTGAAAGTGAGTTGACATTTCCCGCAATTATTGTGAAAGTGTGTTGACATTCCCCACAATTATTGTGGATATGGGTTGACATTGTACACAGTTATTGTAAATGTGTGGTGACATTCTACACAATTATTGTGGATGTCTGGTGACATTCTACACAATTATTGTGGATGTCTGGTGACATTCTACACAGTTATTGTGGATGTGTGGTGACATTCTACACAATTATTGTGGATGTGTGGTGACATTCTACACAGTTATTGTGGATGTCTGGTGACATTCTACACAGTTATTGTGGATGTGTGGTGACATTCTACACAATTATTGTGGATGTGTGGTGACATTCTACACAGTTATTGTGGATGTGTGGTGACATTCTACACAATTATTGTGGGTGTCTGGTGACATTGTACTCAATTATTGTGGATGTTTGTTGGCATTCTACACAGTTATTGTGGATGTCTGTTGACATTCTACACAGTTATTGTGGATGTTTGTTGACATTCTACACAGTTATTGTGGATGTTTGTTGACATTCTACACAGTTATTGTGGGTGTCTGGTGACATTGTACTCAATTATTGTGGATGTTTGTTGACATTCTACACAGTTATTGTGGGTGTCTGGTGACATTGTACTCAATTATTGTGGATGTTTGTTGACATTCTACACAGTTATTGTTGGTGTCTGGTGACATTGTACTCAATTATTGTGGATGTTTGTTGACATTCTACACAATTATTGTGGGTGTCTGGTGACATTGTACTCAATTATTGTGGATGTTTGTTGACATTCCCCACAATTATTGTGGATGTGTGTTGACATTTCCCGCAATTATTGTGGATGTTGGTTGACATTGTACACAGTTATTGTAAATGTGTGGTGACATTCTACACAATTATTCTGGATGTCTGGTGACATTCTACACAATTATTGTGGAAGTCTGGTGACATTCTACACAGTTATTGTTGTTGGGTGTTGATATTCTACAGTTATTGTTGATGGGTGTTGACATTCTACACAATTATTGTGGGTGTCTGGTGACATTCTACAGTTATTGTGGATGTGTGGTTACATTCTACACAGTTATTGTGGGTGTCTGGTGACATTCTACAGTTATTGTGGGTGTCTGGTGACATTCTACAGTTATTGTGGGTGTCTGGTGACATTCTACAGTTATTGTGGGTGTCTGGTGACATTCTACAGTTATTGTGGGTGTCTGGTGACATTCTACAGTTATTGTGGGTGTCTGGTGACATTCTACAGTTATTGTGGATGTGTGGTTACATTCTACACAGTTATTGTGGATGGGTGTTGACATTCTACACAATTAATGTAAATGTGTGGTGACATTCCACACAATTGTTGTGGATGTGTGTTGAAATTTTGTGTGCTGTGTGAATGTATGCTGACATGTTTATGTGGTGTGCGGATGTATGTTGACATTTTGTGGGCTGTGTGGCTGTTTGTTGACAGTTTGTGTGGATGTTTGTTCATATTTCGTGCACTGTGTGTATGTATGTTGACATCCTACACCATGTTTGAGTATATGTTGATGTTATGCTTTAAATATCTCACAAATTTAGATGGAAGCAGCTTCAGCAGCCCCTAATTTACTGACAGCGTGAGTATGACACTTTCTTTAAACCTTCTGTCAGCAAATACGTGTAATTATTTACCATGCAGCGGTCGGGGAATGGAGAGTGAGAAGCAACAACGAAATTCATGATCTGTTTAAATCACCATTGATCACTGGCATCATGAGAGCTAATAGACTGAAATGGTTGGGGCATATTGAAAGAATGTCGGATGACAGAGAGGTTAAAAAAAAAAAAAACTATATACAAGGAAGATGAATGGTCGTAGACCACAAAGCAGAGCAAGAAGACGATGGAGAGATAAATATCCAGACAGACCTACAAACGCTTGGTGTCACCAACTGGAAAGAGAAGGCCAACCACAGAGATGAATGGAGGCGGTTGATATCTGCATCAATAAACTTCAAGAGTTATTAATGCTGAAGAAGATAAAGAAGATTTACCATTAGTGTTGAATATGGGAGCCGCCATTCTTTAGTGGCTAGTTGCTTGCTTGCAGATCAGATTGGCTAGGGTTAAAATCTGAACAGTCTTGTGGAACAAGTTTATTTTCCTGGGATTGGTGGTGGGTGTGTGATTTAACCTCCCTTCTGATCCAGATAAGACACCAAGACAACTCATCATCATCATGTAGCAGGTCCTTTGCAGAACGTCGCTCTCATCATGGTCTGCCTGAAAGAAACTCGGTCTCTCACCAGTTCTCTCGCCTCATGCACTTTTATACTCAAGGAGTCACTTATATCCTGTGTCCATTTTCATGTCGGCCCCTACCCCTCCTTCCTGGTACCATGCCTTCTGTTATTAATTTTTCCAATCCTTCATGGCGCTTGATATGACCAAAATATTTCAGCTTTTGTGAAAGGATGGTGTTTATTAGCCATTATTTCTTGATGTTCAGATCTTTCAAGATGTCAGTATTTCTCCTCTTCTTTGTCCAAGATATTCTGAGAATCTTTCTATAGCTTTTCAGCTCAAAAGCCCCTATTCTGTTTCTTAAGGATTGGGAGATAGTCCACGACTCACATCCGTATGTAGCAGATGCACGCTCTCAAAATTCAAATTTGTATCTCTTTGCTGGTGCTTAACCATAAACTTTTAAGGCTGTTCTGTCTTTGCATTGCTATGACCATCCTCCTTTTAATTTCTGTCAAACAGTCTCCATTGCTGTTTATTACAGAGCCTAGGTATTCAAAGTTTGTGACATTTTCAATTTCTTCATCATTTATTGTTATTTTTGGGTGACCGCCAGTTTTATCTGTGGACATTATTTTCATTTTCTTTAAATTCACGAGCAGATTTTGATCTTCACTGTGCTTTTGGACAGACAATATTAAATTGTCCATTCCCTTAACGCTGTTCAGCTACCGTATGATAATAAAGATAAACTGACTCTGGATACACAGATACAATTGTGGAACTATCTTCCACAGCAAATTAAAAAATACCTCTAGTCCCTGTACATACAACTGGAAACTGTTCGAATATTATCTGAGCATAGATTATATACTGCCAGAGAAGATAAATAATATTTTGTAAATGGTGCACATTTTCCCTAGATTTATTACAATTACTACGGCTTACCTTAGTTATAAATGTGCACATTCCAGTGCTTGTGTTTGAATATTTTGATGCTATTGATAATGTTTACTATTATTTGATGTATGAACAAAAGGGCAGAATGTTAGATGGGTCTGCATGCCCAGTTCCTGACCCCTTTTAAATAAAGTTTGTTCGTTCAAAATTCGTTTGGTCGATGAAGCCTAGAACTGGCCTTTGAAATGTGTTAAGCCGACTGAGTATCCTCAGAAGAAGGAGAGAGGTGGAGATCTAGATGCATTTATTATATAATGATACAGTCGTAGACTGTAGGTTGCGTCTCGGACCATCCACTCCTGTTTCTACAAATTAGCCCCCATCTAAATGGATATTTAAAGTGTTGATCTTGTTTTAAACTTTGATCTTTTATCTTTGTGTGGATTGTTTGATGATCTCTAGCAAGACACATGACTTGTTTTTTCAGTTTTTCCCCCTTTCTCATCATCATCATCATGTGCCCTGCCAACTGGCTTAGGCGCTCATGCGTCTCCACAGATCAAATTCCCTGGTTGCCTGGAACAGCTCTCTTGATGATATCCCTCCATGCCATCGTTTCAGCCCATCCAGCATCATCTCTCTTGGTCTGCCTCTACCCCTTTTCCCACTGACCTTTCCAGTTGTCACAATGTTCTCCAATGTCTCTCTTCTCATTATGAGGCCAAAGAACAGTGTTTGTCTCTTTCTTATTGTTGTATATAGAGATCTACTTTCATTAGCTTCTTTCAAGCAAAAGTTGTTAGTTACTCTGGCCGTCCAAGGTATTCGTAACATTTGTCTCAGAAACCTGTTGCTTCTAAATTCTTCCTAATTTGTTCACTGACATTCCAAGATTTGCTGCCATACAGCAGAATGGTTTTATGTAACATTTTAGCACCCTCTTTCTGACATTAATTGAGAGCGATTTATTGCATAAGATATTTTTTTTTCTTCTGAAATGCAGCTTTCGCTTGATCTGTTCTGCTTTTAATCTCTGGCACTAATTTGTTACAGAGTTAAAATACTAATAATAATAATTGTAATTAAAGTAGCGTAAAGTTTGCTTTTGTAAATCTGTTACAGAAACTATATGCCTCAACAAATTCATCATCAACGGTCACTAGACAGCAGCACAAGGTCCAGCAGCCAGCTGTCCACAAGATGGGTCAGCACTGAGTCCAGCGGCTACGGTACGGACAGCACTTCGTTGAGTGGCACCAGGTTGCGGGGCTGCATGACCAAAACACACAGCTATGGGGGCACTGCTTCTGAACCTAGTGCCTCACAGCTGGGCATCAGTATGCGGAGAACTCTGAGCTTAAGCAAAGCTGGTAAGGTCATCCACACAGAGTTTGGTAGTTGTTGAATGTGTGGCTCTAGATATTCCCCTTGATGTTGTCATTTGTTACATGTTATGTTGTACTTACTGGCTGAGGGCAGTGCCCTTAATGTTGTCATTTGTTACGTGTTATGTTGTACTTACTAAGCTGGGGGCAGTGCCCTTATGTTGTCATTTGTTGCATGTTATGTTGTACTTACTAAGCTGGGGGCAGTGTCCTTGATGTTATCATTTGTTACATGTAATGTTGTACTTACTAAGCTGGGGGCAGTGTCCTTGATGTTATCATTTGTTACATGTTATGTTGTACTTACTAGCTGAGGGCAGTGCCCTTGATGTTGTCATTTGTTACGTATTATCTTATACTTACTGGCTGATGAGAGTGTCCTTGATGTTGTCATTTGTTACATGTTATGTTGTACTTACTGGCTGATGAGAGTGTCCTTGATGTTGTCATTTGTTACATGTTATGTTGTACTTACTGGCTGATGAGAGTGTCCTTGATCTTGTCATTTGTTACGTGTTATGTTGTACTTACTAGCTGAGGGCAGTGCCCTTGATGTTGTCATTTGTTACGTATTATCTTATACTTACTGGCTGATGAGAGTGTCCTTGATGTTGTCATTTGTTACGTATTATCTTATACTTACTGGCTGATGAGAATGTCCTTGATGTTGTCATTTGTTACGTATTATCTTATACTTACTGGCTGATGAGAGTGTCCTTGATGTTGTCATTTGTTACGTATTATCTTATACTTACTGGCTGATGAGAGTGTCCTTGATGTTGTCATTTGTTACGTGTTATGTTGTACTTACTAGCTGAGGGCAGTGCCCTTGATGTTGTCATTTAATACATGTTATGTTGTACTTACTGGCAAAGGGCAGTGCCCTTGATGTTGTCATTTGTTACGTGTTATGTTGTACTTACTGGCTAAGGGCAGTACCCTTGACGGGATGTTGCGAAACCATTTTCTTGTTTGTCAAGGATGCATCTGTCGTGGCCTTTTCAGTTGCAGTAATGGATATATCTGTCACGTTTCTATTGTTGGTATCTTTTTTCTTCCTCTGTGTTAGCCTTGAAAAGGATGGTTGGTATGTTGTGTTGTGGTTAACAGCTAGGCTGCGATATCTGCACCTTTTGGCGCAACACATTTCAGCAAATCACCTTTAATGAGATGCTTGTTGGGGGACAAAAGGCTTCTTGAGGGACTGGCAGAATAATTGAAGTAATGAAGACTTTGATTCAAATTTAAATTTTTCTGTGAATTTTGCATGAAGTGAAACAAAAACTGTCTTTCACAGAGGGAGTTTATTGATGTTCTGTTCTTTAGAAAAGTAATAAATGAAAAGAGATTTCATCTTTTACTGAATTTCAATTTACGGGCATCATCTTGTAACTTGAGCATTGTCTCCAGAACACACCAAAAAATATCCAGATACTTAACCATAAGAGGCCGAGCTGTTACAATGTTGGGCTCTCATGTGTCAGATCTGGGTTCCATCCCAGTGAGGTGATGGAGTTTTTCTGTCAGAGGTGAAATTAAACATCCTGACCTGTACAGTCCGTGGCGACAGCACTAGCCGTGTGGCCCTAAATCCTCAGGCTCGCGACCCAAAGGCATATCATGAGAGAAGGAAAACTTGATTTCGCCATGACAAGGGGAAAGTTGAAAGGTTATAGAACCAAAAGGAGAGACCTACAGAGATGTTGAACAGTTTTGCATCATGGCAGGGATGGACCTCTGTATCAGAAATGATTAGCAAGTCATGTAACAGAAGACTATAGACAACACCATATGGCACTTTCCAGTTAGTTTTTAGTTTTAAAATAAAAGAAGAAATTGTCTTAAGAACTTTCCAGTTAAACCAGTATGTTTTAAGCACTTTCCAGTTAGTTATATTTGTTGTAAGCATTTTCCATTTAGTCAGATTTGTTGTAAGCACTTTCCAGTTAGTCATATTTGTTGTAAACACTTTCCAGTTAGAAGATTATGTTGTAAGCACTTTCCAGATGGTAGATTATGTTGTAAGCACTTTCCAGATGGTAGATTATGTTGTAAGCACTTTCCAGATGGTAGATTATGTTGTAAGCACTTACCTGTTAGCTGATTATGTTGGCCACACTTTATTTTTGTAAAGTGTTTTTGTACATCTTTTGTTTTATGCAGGCAAAATATTTATTTCGACTGTTTAATATCTTCTTCTTCTTTGCGTTCAGTTTGGTATGCTCAGATGGACCATCAGGTGTGTCACCTCTATGAACTCACAGGTCCTTCATGGTTCCCCATATCTTTGCTCTGCATTGCTCTTGAGTGGGCAAATCTGCAGAATGTGCTCTTAAGTTGGAGATGCTAACTGTTCCCCTAGCAAACTAATCATACACGCGTCGTTCTCTTCCTCTCATAGGATCCTCTTTTGATCCACACGTTAAACAAACAAAAAAAGGGACATTGAAAACAGCAAAAATATTTTCCTGTGTGAGTGCATGTTAGTCCTTCAGGTGCTTCAAAGGGATCCACGAAACAGCATGGAGAGAGAACTGACCTGACAGCAAAACTGACTCTCAGAAAACAATCAAATCATTCTCCAGTGGTTCCCGGCTCACTGCGGCAGACCAGGAAATGAATTAGCGGACAGACTTGCAAAAATTTTAACAAAGGAGAATGTGCACACCCATTCACTGTCATTAGCAGAATCAAAACTCTTTTCAAGAGGTGTTCTTATCACTTTTTAGTGAAACAACCTCTCTGTGGCTTCCATTTGATTTCCACTAAATTGCTAACTCTCTGTGATTTACATCTTCACATCAGGGTTGGCTCTTCATAACTATTTATAAAAGCTGGGAGCTGAGTTGCCTCAAGTCATGGTGTCTTCCCCTAGTGTTAGAGGTCCTTGGTTCAAGCCCTGGTGAAGGCTGGGATTTTTTAACATGGACTTCTAGTAATTTCCCCTGGTCTGTGGGTAGTGATATCAGATGCCCGTGTGTATTGTTGTGCACTTTAAAAAAATCCCTTGGCAGTTGGAAATTGAAAAGAGTAGCCTAACGGCGCTGCCAGATCCAAATTTTGAGGTTAAAAATCTACCCACAGTATTTCAGGATCCTTGTCGATGTTACGAAGTTGGTGCACTGTGCTGAGATTCTTCGGACTGAGGTTTGAGTCAGAAGTAGAATTGAGCACTTATGGGTTACTACCCTTGTGCCATGATGTTGATCCATTGTATAAACCGTAACCTGTTCATAATAACTTAACCTTCAGGTGATCAGACAGCCGCAGTTCTAACATCCCAGCAGTCGGGTCACCCCATAGTTGCTCCATTCCTGTGCCAATTAAAACCACATAGAATGTCCATCACTGCCTCCCTTGTGGAGGGGGGGGGGAGGGGGGGGCAAAAAGTTACACAGGACTGGAGTCTTAGCAAATCCAATAGCATGCACAAACATTAAATGCATGAGGCAGCCACCAGAAGTGCCAGCACAAACAATCTGACTCTAGAACTGCACTCCATCTTCAGTGGAAGTTTTCAAAAGGGTAGGAAATTTTAGGGAAGAGAAAAAGGGGTAAGAATGAACAACTAGTTTATGTCAACTTTAAAAAATCGATCAAAATGAATAAACAAAGGACGTTGCAGCGATTAGCCTTCATCAGCACACATGTCATGCATTCAGCTCAGTAGCTGGGCGATGTAACTATATCCATTCAGTCTACATATGGAGGAAAATGCAACGTCTAACTATTGTCAAAAGCAAAACTTGCCACAATTAAAAATCTAAACCTGCCTATCCTCTGTATTGACCTGAAATCTCACCTGTGTTGCTGTTATGATAGTGGCTACTAGATTAGTTTATATTTTTTATATTGCTAATATGAGGGTAATCAATAAGTAAGTCACAGATAGTTATGAGATGGCAGGAAAAGGCAGTTAATGGTTTCTAAAACTGTCAACAAGTGACAGCAACATCAAACTTTATGTCTCTGTTCGTGAGGTGGTGCTAGGTATTTCATGCACATTTGCAACACAGAAACAAAATGGCAACTGTACTTATGGAGTGTATCCTCAAAGAACGTCTTATTGTGAGGTTTTTTTTTTGGGGGGGGGGGGAGGGGGGGGGGGGGGGGGGGGGGGGGGGGGGGGGGGGAGAAGGGCTGTCTGCAAAGGACATTCATAAGGAAATGCTTCCCATTTATGTTGACAAATGTTTATCCCGTAAAGCGGTGCACTGAAAACCCGCCTTGGCGGGAGACATTTCGTGAATGAAGCAGAAGTTGAATGTGAAGTGAAAATGTGGTTTAGAAAACAGAGCATGCAATTCAATGCAGCAGGTTTGGGAGAAATGATAATACAATGGGACAAGTGCATCACTGTTTTTGGAAATTGTGTTGAAAAATAAAGGGACAGTATATGTATAAAAATAAATGGTTTTTTAAATCATCTTCAACAGTTTTTTTTTTAAACGACCATGTGTGACCTACTTATTGACTTCCCCTCTTACTAATTTCTATTGTTTACCTTCCTAGAATCCCTGAAAGATTCCCCACACACCCACTATGGGAGTCCGCCTATGCCTCAGACTGGTTGTCAGATACCGATGTCTGTATCCTTCCCCGGAGACCACTCACACTTATCCAGATCCACCTCTGACGCCAGTTCATCGCCACTTTCTCAGTGTAAGTATTTTGTTTATTGCCTGATATTGTTTCACATTTGTATTGAAAGATGGTACAAATTGTTCATGAAGTTTTTTTTCTTCTTGATCCAGGGAAAATCTGCTAGCCTCATCATATCCCGTCTTGTACATTGTAGTATTCAGATGACGTGTAAACAACAGATTGTTAGTCCCCATGGACTGTTACTTCCTCTGTCTGTCATTTAGAGGACCGGTCTTTCTTCCAGGTACCACTTGGTCTATACATTTTCTTGCTGTCATTTGACAGCCAAATTAGATGGTGAACACTTTATCTGGTTTTTTTAAAAATACTAAATAATCATTTCTGATCTCTCTCCTTGATATGTCGTATGCTATTCTTCAGTCAGTCCTCATCGCGGCCAGAGGCACATAAGGCAGAGACAAACTGTTCTTAGGAATCTCATACTCATTGTTGTAATTTTCTTTTCTTTTGTTTTTTCCCCATTGATGTTAAAGCCCCCCTGCCTCAACACACCCAAACCAGAATTAGCAGACCATTGAAGTGACCATTGAAACATGCTGCTAGGGAAGGGTAGGTAATTCAGCTTCATTGAGCTGTTAAAGAGTAGATAACTCTGCATTATTGGAATAGTCACACTGAAGTTATAAAATAACAATGTGAGTTATTTTACGACCATGTTATCTCATTGTGGTCTGTCTGTTTTATGAACTTCACATGTATTATTTTGAATTTGAATACACATGTTAGAGATTGGTTCTTACAATATTATGGGTAAATAAAAGAACAAATGCATCCATACTTCAAGAGCTGAATACTGAAGAAGGTTGGCTATTAAGATGATAAAACACAGAAAATTGAAATACGAAAGTTTAGAGAGAACAATAATGGAGGGGTATATGACTGGGAAGAGAAGAAGAGGAAGGCCAAAGAGAAGATAAGGCAAGATGTTGCGGATGATCTCAAGATGGATTTATTGGAAGTAGGACATCTTGCTTGTGATCAAGAAGTTTTCCAGAGGGTTGTTATGGAAGAAAGATTTTGCAAAGGACAGACCACTTATTGACAGACATGTTTTATAGCCAATCTTCTTCATAAAAAAAACATAGGGTAATATATCATGTCTGTATCATAAAAGTTTCACAGAGTCATTTGTCTGATCATCATAATGGCACCACCATACTGTGAAAAACATCAACTCTCTTATTTTGGGCTGGTGTTTCACTTGAACTGACTTCCATAGATATATCTGTCAAGCATGTTTGTACACAACTGCAGAAATGTATATTTAAAGTAAAGATCCCTTTTCACGCCTTTAGGCGCATCAGGCACACGGGAAGAGCGCCCATATTTTACCAATTGGCACTAGTTGGGTAATGTGGTAAGCATTATGCCGGCCGTCTTTACTTCCCTAGGACATACAGCCCGGTATGCATTATAGGCTGGGCCAGCCTGCGACGCTCCATACCATGATAAAAATCCCTGCAGCCAGCAGTGGGTTTCGATCGCGGTATGTTGAAATTACAAGTCAGACTCGCAACGCCTAAGCCACAGACGCCACTCAGAAATGTTTTTATTTATTTTAATTTTATTTTCAATTGTTGTCCCTACTTTTCCACTTGCCTTGTTATTGTTGTTTCTGTTATGATATTTCTTTGTTTGTTGAACATAAGGACGCTCAGCGCCCTCTACCTTATAATCTTGTCTTTCTTTGTGCAAAGGGGCAGTGCTGGCATTCCTTTTTATGTTTTTTTAAAGTGCCGTGTCCACAATGAAGGTTGGCTGCCGTTGACCACTGTTGTCTTTGGGCATATTATGTGGTGAGTCTCTTCCATGGTGTGACTCTCATACCATTGTCTGAAAACCTGGAGATCAGTTTTGTTAAACCACCCTACCACGGTGAAACAACCCCTAGTACCCATGCATCAGGGAATTGTTAAGCACATTTGCTGGCCTCAAAGCCAGGATTGCTCTACATTTGCTGGCCTCTAAGCCAGGCATGCTCTACATTTGCTGGCCTCTAAGCCAGGCATGCTCTACATTTACTGGCCTCTAAGCCAGACATGCTCTACATTTACTGGCCTCTAAGCCAGGCATGCTCTACATTTGCTGGCCTCTAAGCCAGGCATGCTCTACATTTGCTGGCCTCTAAGCCAGGCATGCTCTACATTTGCTGGCCTCTAAGCCAGGCATGCTCTACATTTGCTGGCCTCTAAGCCAGGCATGCTCTACATTTGCTGGCCTCTAAGCCAGCCATGCTCTATATTTGCTGGCCTCTAAGCCAGGCATGCTCTACATTTGCTGGCCTCTAAGCCAGGCATGCTCTACATTTGCTGGCCTCTAAGCCAGGCATGCTCTACATTTGCTGGCCTCTAAGCCAGGCATGCTCTACATTTGCTGGCCTCTAAGCCAGGCATGCTCTACATTTGCTGGCCTCTAAGCCAGGCATGCTCTACATTTACTGGCCTCTAAGCCAGACATGCTCTACATTTGCTGGCCTCTAAGCTAGACATGCTCTACATTTACTGGCCTCTAAGCCAGGCATGCTCTACATTTGCTGGCCTCTAAGCTAGGCATGCTCTACATTTGCTGGCCTCTAAGCCAGACATGCTCTACATTTGCTGGCCTCTAAGCTAGACATGCTCTACATTTACTGGCCTCTAAGCCAGGCATGCTCTACATTTGCTGGCCTCTAAGCCAAGCATGCTCTACATTTGCTGGCCTCTAAGCCAGGCATGCTCTACATTTGCTGGCCTCTAAGCCAGGCATGCTCTACATTTGCTGGCCTCTAAGCCAGACATGCTCTACATTTGCTGGCCTCTAAGCCAGGATTGCTCTACATTTGCTGGCCTCTAAGCCAGGATTGCTCTACATTTGCTGGCCTCTAAGCCAGACATGCTCTACATTTGCTGGCCTCTAAGCCAGGATTGCTCTACATTTGCTGGCCTCTAAGCCAGGATTGCTCTACATTTGCTGGCCTCTAAGCCAGACATGCTCTACATTTGCTGGCCTCTAAGCTAGGCATGCTCTACATTTGCTGGCCTCTAAGCCAGGCATGCTCTACATTTGCTGGCCTCTAAGCCAGACATGCTCTACATTTGCTGGCCTCTAAGCCAGGCATGCTCTACATTTGTGTTGAAATCAGTTTTGCCGATTTTTTTTTTTTTTTAAATGATGCTTTTAAAATACACTGTGCTAACAGTATGCCAGAACTGTTCACATTTGCATTGTCTAATCTGAGTATGATGAACTGACAAGTGTCAGCTACGATTCAGAAACAGCTGATCAGATGACACATCCATGTGACAGGTCCCAGCAAAAACTGCCTCTCATTGACAAATACAAGCAATATACGAGATAGTGCAGTTTCTTTTTATTTATATGATACAGAAGGCCATATTTGGGAGGGATATCATGACAAAAGAGAAAATAGGACACAGAAGAAGAAGATGACATAGTAAAGAATTAAATCGTTCAGATTTTGAATTCAAATAAATAAACTTGATCCTAAACTCAGAAGTTTCTACACTGATTGGCACTATGTGGCACCAGTGTCTTCCCAGGGCATTACCTGCTACCATCTTTAGGCTAGAATTCAAATATGGCATGAACAGTATTCTCCTGGAACAGTCAGTACTAAATCCTGTTTTAACATCTCCTAGAGATGTTTGGGTTTTGCTAGAGTTCTACAAAGTAAATATAGGGAGTTTGTAAAGTCTCACTACACTTTGTGTGCAGAACAAATTTTGAAAACTGAAGTACATTCCATCATCACAAACTGTGCTTATAAAAAAAAAGAGTATTTCAGTTAATTGTCACTGCAGTGGTCTAACGCTTTTGTGGGGAATCTGGAAGTGTCAATGAAATATTAATTTTAACAGGTATTGGAAATGTCCGCCGTAGGCTTCAAGACTTGACTTTACACGTCTCTACATATTGTCAGATACCTTCTTCGATGTGTCTGTTAGTTATTTCTTCAACTGTATTTCTGATTGCTTCCGTTTATAACACCATTCTGTTTTGAATGCAAACAATTACCCCCACAGACAACAGACATTCACTGCATATTGCATTAACGATTGACTGTAGAGCACATTTGTAGTTGAAATTATATGCTTCACTTTTCAAATTTGTTCCACAAAGTGTAGTGAGACTTTACAAACACCCTGTATTTGCGAACATTAACGAATGTAGACCACAGCAGTGTGTCTACAATTGTGTTGTCATTGTTTCTAGCACTGCAGTGCCCTCAGTTAGCCTACCTAGTGTCCAGCGACTACAATAGCATACCAGTGGGCAGTCTAATTATCAACCCGCTCACAAGTAAGTCTTCGAGTGGCCAGAGATTCCTTGTCGTCTAGTGCCAGATTTTATCGTTACCGCCCTAGGCAGTGCTGGCCCGTGCTTGCTTAACACAGACGTAGCAGCTTGGCTTTTTATTATTTTGGCTGGCTTTTCCTAGCTGATGTACCCAGTGTGTACACTTGAGTCATTTGTGTTTGTTGGACCTATGTGTTGGCAGCTTGTTTGTTTCTGTCTCCTGACTTGATTTCTTTTTCTTTACCAGGCATATCACTGAAGATTGCTCAGTCCCACCCTAATAACTGTCTGCACTGCCTAAATTTGCACTTTTAAAAACATAAACGCAGAGTCACAACTTATGAGATAAGAGGTGTAAGAAATGTGGTGCAACCTAAACGTAGAATTACAATGTTTAAGAAATGTTGTGGAAACAGAAATGCAAATTCACAACGCATGAGATACAAATGTAAAGATGGGGTCAGGGGTTGGAAAGAAAAGATTGGGGGGGGGGGGGGGGGGAATGCAAAATCATAAGATGTGAAACCAGATGTATCAGAACTATGGGGGAAACATAAATTCCGAATTACAACATGTGAGATGAGATGTGTGATAAATGGGAGGGGATAATCAGTATATGTGAGATGTGATGAGATGTGTAATAAATGGGAGGGGATAATCAGTACATGTGAGATGCGATGAGATGAGATGTGTAAGGAATGTAGCAAGAACAACGAGAAGAGGCAGAGCCACCAGTGGAGAGCTAAGAACAATGATCAGCAGATAACTGGTAAATAATTTCATAGAGCATCAGATAATCAAATGGGTTTGGTCATCGAGTCAGAATGTATCAAAATTGACCAGCAGCTAGAGCATACTACATGAGAACAGCAAGAGCAAGAGGTGGACCAAGAAAGAGGTGGGTGGAGGGTGTACAAGAAGCACCACATAAACACATTATAACAGTTACGCTAGCCACGCACCTAGCAACAGACGGGAAACTACATCTCACTCCTCTCGGTAATGCTGTATGACAGAAGATGATTTACCACTTTCTGGTTTTTGGGTGGTGTAGGATCGAAGGGCTGGAAGGAGGGGGTGGGAAGGTCCTTGCACCTAAAGATTTAGCTCCTCAATGCTAGAGCAGCCTCCATTGGCTGTGCAGGTAAAAAAATTGTTGTGTGTGTAGGTCCCAAAAGAAGGAAAAAAATCCCGTCACCTTCTTGATGGTTTGAAGCTGGGTCTTCCGAACCAGAGCTCCTCATTCTTGACCTCATGAACAGAACTCTTTCCTGAAGAGAAAGTTGAGCACGGGATTGCTCAGTTGTTTTGTATGTTAAGCATATGAAAGTGAAACCTTGGGATCTGGCACAAAAACTGCATAAACATTGATGCAATTGAAAGAAAAAAGAAGCGCAAATGACAAAACTTAGGTAGCAATACAGTTAGACATCTTTAGACTGTTAACTGATTAAAAAAAGTCATCCTTGGTTAATTTGCTTACTGCATTCAACACTTTCCCATTTCCCACTTAGCAGTTTGTCACATGCTAAATTGTACTAAGACTTTGACTTGATTCACATAAAACAATTCACCTCACACTGAACTTTAACTAAGATATTGACTTGATTCATGTAAAACTACACACCACACACTGAACTTTGACTAAGATATTGACTTGATTTATGTAAAACAACTCACCCCATACCGAACTATGAATAAGATATTGACTTGATTCATGTAAAACTAACCACACACTGAACTGTGACTAAGATTTTGACTTGCCACACACACAGGAAATGACCCATACCTACAGTGGTAACTGAGACTGTTGACTTTCGTCATGATGTCCCACCAGATACTCATGAATATAATACCCCAATATTTTATTTTTGGAATCTGTTGTTGGAAAGTAGTCTGTTGGATTGTTGCACCCTTTTTATTTTTAGCGTGTTTTTTTTTTTTTAAATATTTTTTTAAAAATATTATTTTGTGTGTGTGTGCATATTGTAATCTATGTATTATCTGAGTGCATATATTTTATGCAGGCGTACACATGTTTGTGTTATTAGTTAGCACCCTCTTGTCAGACTATGCACATAGTATTTCTGGATACAGCTAGCTTGATGTTCCCCATTATCGACTTGTCCCTGTATTCCTGCATACTTCTTGGTCTTTCGCTTGCTGTAAACTCCAGCAGAATTTTTCTGGTTGTTTATTTTAGCACTTGTGGACTTTGATTGTGTTCCAGAACTTGCATTGTACGTTCATATCTGTTGAAATGATCTGGGTTATTTATCTGCTACTGTTTGGGTTCTCGCCTCGTAGGCAGATGTACTCTCATTTCAAGGAAACACATTTGATTAGTTTTTATGACATCCTTCTTTAGTGACCGGGGGGGGGGGGGGGGGGGGGGGGCAGTGTTTCTGTTTATCTTCCCTCCCCCCTCACCCCAGCTAATCGGGCTGTGGAACCCACATGAGAAATATCTGAATAAAAATATCCCTCACTAGACATATCACATTTTTTTCCTGCTATGTTTCAAACGTTTCCAATTTTAGACTAGTCAGAAGTAAGTGTTTTTGTTGTTGTTGTTACCACCCTAGCATATTTGTTTCCCCACTATAGACTTATAGTATCTCCTGCTACAACTTTTACATTTCCATTTAGTCAAACATAATAACTTTAATTGCAATAAATGCAAATATGACCATTCAGCTTTCTTTGCAACCAGTGCAGCTTTGTTCGTCTAGCTTTCATTGCACCCAGCTCTTTTTTTGTGCATCTGTCACCGAGTAAAAAAAAAAAAAAATTGAATCACTATCAACAAAATTATCGACATTAAACAGTATACAAATTAGAAATTAACTGTGCATTTTAATATTAACATTTAGTAACTGCTCATTTTAAATAGAATAACGAACTGCTTCTGCCATGTGAGAACTAGTTTAACAAATTTTTTACATTGTAACCAATGAGTCTGTCATCAGATGCCCAGTTTGCCAGTGGTTTTAAAAGGGTCAGTGACTCACTTTACTGACTAGAGAATAATAACTGTACAATTTGAGAATCAGTGATATTGAAAACTGGTCCATATGTTTCTGTAATTTGACTGTGGAGAATGCTGTCAGTTTAATTTTTGTGAAGAATTATAATGTTGTGCCTATGTTAGACACCCAATTTCTTTCTTTCTTTTTTTCTGTCTGTCTTTTTTTCTGTCTTTCTGTCTTTCTGTCTTTCTTTCTTTCTTTCTTTCTTTCTTTCTTTCTTTCTTTCTTTCTTTCTTTCTTTTTTTCTTTCTTTCTTTCTTTCTTTCTTTCTTTCTTTCTTTCTTTCTTTCTTTCTTTCTTTCTTTCTTTCTTTCTTTCTTTCTTTCTTTCTTTCTTTTTTTCTTTCTTTCTTTCTCTCTCTCTCTCTCTCTCTCTCTTTCTTTCTTTCTTTCTTTCTTTCTTATCTTCCTTTCCTCCCTTTTCCCCTCTCCTTTTTCTTATCTAATTTTATTCCAGATATTGTAATTATTTATATAGCATAGATATTTCTGTAATGGTGATTTAAAGGAAATTCCTTACAGCGGTCATGAAGTGCTCACATGTGTTTTGGGATAACTTGTAGAGATGACACCTCAAACTTGAGTGTGTCGAACATCCCCCAACAATGTGTGGAACTAAACATTTGCTGTTTTTGGTAGTTCTGAAGGACATTGAAATGTCATGTCATTTGTGGACTAGAACATTCGAAGGCCAAACACTGCATGCCCCAGTGGCATATCTGCCACAGGGTAGTTGTTTTTCTTTTCACATTTGTTTGTTTGTTGTTGCTTTCCTGTTTTCTTGTTGTTGTTACTGATTTTATTCCTCATCTTCTTGCCTGAAGTCTAGGCCAGATGATGGAGCATGCATGTGTTCATTAGCTGTTGTGTTGTTCCTTGTTGAGTGCTCACTATGTCTTCCTTTGATAGAAATAGAAATGTTCTGATATCTGTATGAGGATACCCAAAGACAGTCTCATAGAGATATACAGAAAGCAGAGACTTTGGTTCAGCTGCAGGAGGTTGGGATCTCTGCCTTAAAGTTTCCACAGGAGATATCTTGAAGCCAGGTTTATAGCAGACTTAGAAATTTACCTTTGTCCTTGAATTATCTTGAATCAGGGTTTATAGCAGATCTAGAAATTTACACTTGTCCTTGAATTATCGTGAAGCAGGGTTTATAGCAGACCTAGAAATTTATATTTGTCCTTGAATTATCTTAAAGCAGACCTACAAATTTACATTTGTCCTTGAATTATCTTGAAGCCGGGTTTATAGCAGATCTAGAAATTTTAATTTGTCCTTGAATTATCTTGAAGCAGACCTAGAAATGTACATTTGTCCTTGAATTATCTTGTAGCCGGGTTTATAGCAAACATAGAAAATTTACATTTGTCCTTGAATTATCTTGAAGCCGTTAATATAATAATGTTAATTTCTCTATTCAAAAAATTGTGTAGTGTCATATTTGACCCCAAAAAATGACAGTGTTTTGACTTTCAAAAAATGTCTTTCTTTTTTTAAATTAGAAACAATTACGTTTCTTTCTCAGTGCAACCTCATGTAAATGCTGATGGCACGCTGTATCATTTTGATCCCACCTGTCCACCCCCATTCATGGTTCAGCCGCAGATGCAGCCACCTCCTGCACAAGTCGTGTACCAGACTGTGAGTATCATTGGGCAGTGTGTCTGATTTGTTAAAATACAAATATTGTCAAGAACTTTTGCATGCACATGCATCTTACAAATCCAGCTTGTATGCAGATTGTGCCTCTCAGGAAACACACCTAATTAGTGGCCTCTTGTGACACGCTTGTTGTGGGACAGTGGTTCTATTCTATGTTTTCCAAAATGGAGCCCCGGAACCCACATGAGGATGTTGCCTTTCATGCCAGCATGTCCTGGGACAGAGGTGAAGGTCTTCTTCTTCTTCTGCCTTTTAGCCGATACATCTGACTTCTGCGGGCATTAGGTGTCCGGGTTAGCCTTCATAGAATGCTGGCATCAGTTTATACAGTTAGAAAAGCACCACTTTAAGGAGGTTTGAGCAACAGATCAACATAATGGCACACTGGTAGTAACCCATAAGTGCTCCTTTTAACTCAAGTGAGTCCGAAGAAGCTCAGCACAATGCACAGGCTCTGTAGCACCCGCGAGGATCCTGAAATACTTTTGGGTAGATTTTAAACTCCAAATTTTTGCCCTTTAGGCTACTCTTTTCTATTTCCAACTGCCAAAAGTGTTTTTTTACACACGCAACAATACACACGGGCGTCGGATCTCACTACCCAGAGACCTGGGGGAATTACTAGAAGTCTAAGTCTACGTGAACAAATCCTAGCCCTTGCCGGGGATTAAACCCAGAACCTCTAGCACTCAAGGCAGACACGATGCCTCGAGACCACGTAGCCCCCTCACTTTAAGGAAATAAACACTAACTGGCAGATCTGACTACTTAAAAAAAAAAGTGACTTCTGGAACTTAATTCTTTTATCCCGATGCGCTTGTTACTTCTGCTCCCTTTATACCTAGGAGTTTAAAAGCAGCAAATACTTGGGTTTGAAGGAGCTTGACCGAGAGACTATGAAGTAGAAGTAGTTAATAAACTAGTGGTTTAGATATATGTCTCTTTATCAGGACAATACTACAGTATAAACAAGTATTATAATAATAATAGTAATAATAAAAATACTAATAATAATTGAGCTGCAAAGATAGATGACAGGACGTCTGGGTTCTGGGGCCCTGTTGTATGAAAAACAAGAATAGACCCACTGCCTACCCAGAAGGATGTAGTAAAAGTCGACTTATTGGGAGCTTCTTTCAAAGTCAGAGCACACCTGCCTGTTAGGCAAGGAACCAACAGCTGCACGCAAATGAGTCATAACTGTAAAACGGAAGTCCGTCCATAAGTGGAGGAACAACCAGAAATTTCTGCCGGAGTTTACAACCAGTGAACGCCAAGAAGAAGAGAATAACCCCCTCATACATAAATTAGGCCGGAGTATTCAGGGTTCGAGCCCCCGCGGTTTCCAGACACCAGAATAAAAAAAGGCAGGATTCAAGCAGAGTGGCATGCTTCACTTCAGAGGTCACGGGTCAGGAGCATTGTCTGGATCTTTTCTCCGGGGTATACCGGTGTGTTGGGAAATGAACAGGCAGACATAATTTGGGCAGGCAACAAGGACATCCACTCAAACCAAAGTGTAGGTCCAGACATGCAAAGATGTACAACATGACATATTAGTTAGGAACACCTAGCCTTCTATAATGGCGCGCACACGCACACTCACCTAAACAACCATTGAAGCCATTAAACTTGACATAACTAACCAGTACATTTAGCACAGCTAAACCAACCACAATTATAAGCAAAGCTGCTTGCAACTGGATGAATGCGGTTACTAGCGGTAAAGGCCGGCACAGACTAGCATGAGAGGCACACAGGATGTACACAAAGTCTTATTAACCAGCATAGGACTCGCACTATTAACAAGTAGACACTGATATATATGTTGAATCGGAGCACCTATAGACATTAGCGCAGTCAATAGGAGACTCGCTTTCAAATCCTGCTGCGACTCGCTGCAGCCCACGGCCTGTGTTCACAACCGGGCGGTTCCCGGGTTTCTCCCAACCCCTAGGAAATGGATACAAGAGTTGACAATCTGGGGTAAATGAAGGAACATCGCTGTAGCTACGGAGTTGAGTGCTAACGGCGACACAGGCGGACAGCTTCTTATCAGCTCTCCGTACTAGTGGCAGAGCACTTATGGTTTATAACTGTGTGCATCGACGCTGGTTCACATCTCCCGACTTTACCTTTTTATCTGTAGACGTATCCAAAGTAGTATGAATTTAACCCAAATCACAATGCATAACTCAGCTCATGTGAGCATTATCTGCTATGAGATGTCCTTTTCCATTTATTTGCTGCATTAAGTTTGGTTTTATCAGTTGTAATTTCAAAGAATTCAATGTGTAGTCTGTCTTGTTTGTTTTGTTTTTAAACTGCAGGACAATATACCAGACTTAACAGCTAGACTCGCAGCCAGCTCTCTAGGAACTTTAGACCAAGGAAGCGAACCCTACCCTGGTGCCATGCCGGGGCAGGCCATCTCAGTGGTGCCAGCAGTAATTCCACACATCCAGTCCATGTACACTTCCCCCTCACAGTTTGCACAGGTGTGTATGTTACCTTACTGTCAAGATGACATGCTCCTGCTGTCTGACGTCAGGCTCTTTCCAGGCATCTGCTCGCGAGGTGCACCTGGCAGATACCTGATATATGACATCATTTCTTGCAGAGTTTTACATATTCTTGCAGGCATCATCTTCTTTTTTCTTATCCTCATTTTTCTTCTTCTCCTCCTCCTCCTCCTTCTTTTTCTTCTCCTCCTCAACCTCTTCTTCTTCCTCCGTAACCTCTTTTTTTTTTCTTCTTCTTCTTCTTCCTGCTCCTCTTCTTCTTTTTGTTCCTCCTCCCCAACCTCTTCTTCTGCTGCTGCTGCTTCTTCTTCTTCTCCTGCTTCTTCTTCTGTGCGTTAAGTTAAACTCTTGCGGAAAGTTCTTGTTGTTCGTACACCTCTGAAATGTAGTTTTGTTTCAGAACCTGAGTGTTGTGCGCTCATCTGTTTTACAGATCTGGCATATTTGTGGGAAGTCTGTTGGTTCCTTGCCTCTCGGGCACATGCATTCCAACTTCTTAGGATATTGCAGCATCTGTTTTGTTACCTAAGATTCACCTAATAAGCATGTCTTAATTGACAGATAATTAGGTGTTTTTACCAAAATTGGATGTAGTTGCCAGAAGGCACAGATATGGCAGCCTAGCTGTAAACCACAACATGCCAGCTGCCCATGTACGATAGGCGTTGCGAGTCCGACTCGTAATCCAACGTACCGCGATCGAAACCCACTGCTGGCTGCGTGGATTTTTATCATGGTATGGGAAGTCACAGGAGGTCGACCCAGCCTAAAATGGGTACCAGGATGGCTGTCCTAGGGAAGTAAAGTCGGCCGGCGTAATGCTGACCACATTACCCATCGAGTGCCGATTGGTCTATAAAAATATGGGTGCTCTTCCCATATTCCCGATGCGCCTTAAGGCGTGCAAAGGGATCTTTAACTTTTTTTTTAGTGAGTATATGGGTTTGAATTCTGACACTGCACACCCTGTGAGAAACTGGACTAATATCTGAGCTAAAAGTAAGTAAAAAAGTAAAGATCCCTTTACCTGCCATTGGGCTCATCGGGCATATGGGAAGAGCACCCATATTTTTACAGACCAATCGGCACTCGGTGGGTAATGTGGTCAGCATTATGCCGATCTGAGCTATGCTGATCTTAAAGTCCTGGATAACCAAGAAAACAGCAAACGTGGCTTGTAGAATAAAACTAAAGTAGCTGTACTTGTATCCACAGGAGTAGGAAAAGTGTAGTTAGATGTATAAATGAATTTAGTTAGTGAATATCAAGATGCACAGTTAACCCCTCCGACTTTCTCCTCTTCTGGTATAATTTATAATGAAAACACCCACCAAGTGTGATAGTGATTATTTAACCCTTTAAAACTCAAGTGTTAAATTTACACAAATTAGGAACATATAGCCACTTGGAACTATGAATACTATTTATCGAACTATGAGTTAACAAACGTGAACGACTTTATTGAATCAATCTGACCAAAAATAAATGGATGATACTGGTCTTGCAATCATAAAAGATAATAGCTCAGTGATGGTAATGAGTTAATTCAGTGAGTTCAACACATGCACATGACACTAGAGGGGAGGATGGGGTTAGGATAATAATTCTTTTGAACGTAACTTTTATGTAGTTTGAAGAAAGTAAGCCACAGACAGATCTCAGTTTGAGACTCTGCCTCTTTTGCCAGCTTGTCCTCCTACTTCAAGTTGGTCATTACACTCAGGACTTTCTGCAAAAAATAGATGCCAACTAGTCGCTGCCCCATGTGGGAACTGTGATCAAGAAACCCATGTGTAAACTTTTTTTTCTTACACACAGTAAGCACATTCATCTAGAAATAATACACCTCCACCGTCTAGTCTGGAAGGGCTTCGAAGGGCTTATATTTGTTACATTTTATGCCTTTCTCTACTCATGTCCTGTAATAATAGTTAAGTCCTCTAAGTCTGATGTCGTCTCTCATGCAGACTCAAAATTGACTTTCAATTTTAAAATGACAAGTTATTGAATTAATATCTGAAATAATGTGCGTGCCCAGAATGATAACAATATTTCTTGGGCGACCTGAAATATCAAGTCTCAGGCTTTTACTCTCCGGGCTCAGTCTCTGGCATTAGCCTCTCCATGAGTTAATCACATTTCACTGTATTACCTTTATGAAGAGTAGACTACCAAAGTAATCATCTGTGAATAAACGGCCAACACATCTTCACGCTTGTGAATTCATAAAAATGATAGTTCATTAAATTTTAATGTTAACCTCAATATTCAAGTTATGTAACATTGAAAAACATGTACATGGAAAACGAAAAAAATGAAAACATTAAGAAAGATCTAGAGGGATTTAACAGCTTCCTACTGGAATGTAAGAATGTCCGCTAAGAAGTACTAAAAAGTAATAAATTACACATTAGCAGAAGACCCTTGAGATTTCTGACAGGAAAAGTTGAAAGTAATCAAACCTGGAAAATGAAAGCACAGTGCCAAAGGTTCTGTCTCAAAGCTTAGGTTTTGAACCCAACAGGAGGTGTGCTGATGGCAGGAGTGTCAGTCTCTGTTCCTGTGGCGGGTAACTTCGCTTTAACTAGCGAATGCACTATGTGCACTTCACAGAGGGAATTACAAACAGTAAATCTTAAAAAGGGTTTATATTACCCCCAGCCTTGCTGGTTAAATTAGAGGATTTGGGGTTTGCCCACATCTGATTCCCTACTGTTATTAAACTTGTATATTTAAATGTTCTTAAGTTCACTGACAATGTTTACAGTTAAAAGGAAACTCCATAAAGCTGTAGGAACATTAAAACTAACATTTATTAGGATTTTCAAATCAATATAAATTCAAATGATAACTAAATAAAATGGCTGTGGATATAAAATTATGGATTGGGAAAGCAACAGATGTTCCCACTTAGCTGTAGCTTAGGTTTCTGTTGTCAGCTTCTGACTAAGCTTCGGAAACACATCAGGCAGGCCGAATCTTCCAGTCCAGTCCGGACAATCGGGTATCTGCAGCTTAGCTTAGGGATCTCCCACCTGGACTACAATCTGGAATACAATCTGGAACTAGAACAATAGAACAGTCCTTATACAAACAGTCAGGAAGGTTCTAACTGGAGACAACAATACCTCCAGTCTTTAAACTGTTACACTACACATATATATATGGAGTAGGATAGTAACAGGTGTTCACATTCTACTGGCATAGAATGGGAATGTGTACAGAACATGGTCCATAATCCTGATGGGGAAATATTTAGGAAACCAGTTTCATGAATACTCTCAAGAACAAGAGTTTACATCACACAAAAAGAAAGGACATTCCTCAGTGTAAATTGTTCTGCTGTCTGCACACTAGTACTCCTTTAAAGGGTTAACATGCTTACACACACAGACATACACAGTCATATTTCACAATATTCTCATCTTAACCACATGGGTTCACATCACAATGAATGAGAAAAAAGGGAGTGAGTTTACCAAGAGCAGAAACTCATAACAGGTGCTTTGCACTGTTTGAAAATAAATGGGATTGACATATCTCCATACTGGGTGCTGGTATAGATGTCAAAATATACAATCATAGATGACAATGGGCTTTCCATCTGTCACAGTATTAACATAAAATATACAACACTCACTCCAGTTTAAATCTAAATCCACACATGTGCTAATCTTATTCAGCAGAGTTTAGAAGTAGTGAAGGTTGAAATATAATTATTACAATTGTAAGGCCACCTGCTGCAGTACTGAAATATTCCTAGTAATGGTGGAAATATATATACAACAATAATAATTACAAGCATGGGCCATACATCTTTCTTCTTCTCTGACAGTGGGAATATTAAATTCAGCCTCACTGTGGTATTCACTTTTCCAAGCTCTTAAACTAGTCTCAGAATTATCTGGACTAAATCTAAATTAAAGCAAGACAGTAATTTATCAAGCTAATATCACCATGAGGTAAAAATCAACTTAGAAGGGATTAGGTATAATGGATATACACTTCATTCCTATTTTTAATTGTCTAAGCTTGAAACAGGAACTGGCTGAGATTTCACATGAGGACATAATTATCACTTAATTAATATAAGTATAATTATTAAAAATACCAATGCACGTTTCTAGTAGCAAATAAACATTAATTCAATCATCCAATAGATAATATGTTTGCATACATGTACATACTAGATCATAAACGTGGTTAGTAAGGATAAAGAAATTTATCATAGTTTTTGAGCCATGTGGGCATTAAATTTCAGAATTTAACCTGTGGAATTAATTCAGAGGAATAAGCAGCAATACATCAAATTAAACTTATTCTTTTAACTCACCCCTGGCAGGGAATTCAAACAGAAAATTAGATCACAGTCTGACTAAAACTTTAGTCTGAACCGGTCAATTTCTGAATTGAAAAGGGAAGTGGAGAGTCCTACCAAGGGGGAAGTTACTCTTCTATACCCCTAGCACTACTCATCTCATTCGCCTTCATTACCTTTCAACTCTTTAATTATAATTTTGCTCCAATGAAGCATTAAGAAAAAGGTAAGAAAATTTCTTAGTTAATCCAGTGTTATTATGCTAATTAAAAGCAATAGGAAAATGTTTAGAACTTTAGTAATAATATTATCTAAACAAAGCACTTTTTAAGAGGACAGAAACAGCTGTCCAGACCAGCTCGTCACAGTTCCTACAGTCTACACTTTTATCATCTCTTTTAAGTTCCTCTTTTTTCTCCTCCTGAACCTGTCTCATTCCAGGGATGTCAGAGCTCCTCCCCATGGGTATAGTGATTCACTAAATGACTGTCAGTCCGGAAGGCTCAAACACTTGTTTGCATTCCCACAGTTTATCAAGCTAGTGTGTGCTTTGGCCATAAACCTAGTCACACCTTCATTCTACATTCCCAGTCTGCCAAATGTTCAAATGTTTTGACACCTGGTCAGAGATAATCTGCTAACACCTCAGTCTGAAAAGGTGTCAACCCTAGCACTGGCCTGCAGTTTAAAGAGGATCTCAGGGGGGGGGGGGGGATAATTACTTATATCATGAGTTACCTGCCCCTAAGGGTCTGACCTCTGATTATTTTAGGACACCCCAAGTTAGGTGGTCTGTAAATTTCATTTTACTGGTGCCACTCAGTCCACCTGGTCAGTTTTATCGGGATTCTTAACATCTAACCTCTGTGCAAGAGTCTTGAGTGTTTGACTTCAGCTGTACTCAAAGGGAAATTAATTGGCTTTGTTCTGGTTGACCTAGATTTAGGTTACACCCTATGAACATATTATCTTTATACTTCAAAATACTTAGAAACTAAATTAGGTTGGGGAAAGACACACTCTGAAGTTACAAGTCGTGCCACCACATGGTGTGATGTTGGTTAGTGGATGGGTTACAGTGATTCTGCTTATGAATGAATAATCAGCATACAGTGTAATGGTCAGTTGAAGATGGGTTACAGTCTGCTTATAAATGAATAACTAGAATATGGTGTGATGTTGGCCTAAAGATGGGTTACAGTCTGCTTATAAATGAATAACTAGAATATGGTGTGATGTTGGCCTGAAGATGGGTTCAGATAAATGTGTTTATTTGTAAGTGAACACTTTGTACAATTTGTCCCCAGGGCCAGTACTTTGCTGCACCTTCGCCTGCAGGCCAGCAGCAGATCCGCTACGTTACATTCTCATATCCTCAAGGACAAGGACAGCAGCTGCTGCAACCAGCCCCCGTGGACGGCCAGGGCCAGACCACCGTCCCCATGCCGGCCATTGGGGTCCCGGCAGTCCCCGGCGCTGGCAGCTATCAGATGGTGGCATCTCCTTACCAGCAGGCTGTAGCTGGGGCAAACCCTGCACACTGTGTGGAGTTCAGTCCTGCAGCTTATCACTACGGAGCTGTCCCCGAGACGGTGATGGTGAGCCGGGCGGGTGGCTTGAGCACGGCGGTTACCATGGCCAGTCCTGGAGCTCCTCATTTTATACTGACATACTCTCAACCACAGCTGACCCAGCAGCAGCAGCCGCAGCCACAACATACGATCCTGCCCACTCACCAAGCCCAGTTCACGACTGCTGCAGGTACACCTCAAGGAACTTACTATACCGTCCCGGTTTCAACTCCAACCCCACCACTAGCCATTTCACAGCCACCTCCGGCATCACACCATCATCATCATCATCATCATCAACAACAACAACAGCATCAACCTGCCGTGTTTTATACAACTAGTATAGGAAACCCTTTAACTTACCATGTCACTCCATCAAATCCATTATCATCAACATCGTGCACTTTAAAAACGGTACCCACATCATTTATACAAACTCAGTACCGCCCGTCGACGCCGCCTCAGCTTCAGCCTCAGCAGCAGCTTCACCACCACCAGCAACCACAATCAACAATGATAGCACCATCAAATGGCCATCATCCTACACCGTTAACATTAAACTATAGTCAGACTGTGCCCTTTAACCCCGGCCAGCCGGTGGCCACAATACCGGCTGCCCAAGGCTCACAGCTAGTGACCTTCCAGCCAAACTCTTTTCAAGTGCGGCCTGTGGGAGCAGCACTGATTCACTTAGCTGGCAGTCCGGTGGCTCCAGCTCCTCAGCCAGCAGGAGGTCCTCAAGTCCAACCATACCATTTATTAAAACCAGCTGGATCTATATCAGGTACTGTGTTCTTGTCTATATCAGGTACTGTGTTCTTGTCTATATCAGGTACTGTGTTCTTGTCTATATCAGGTACTGTGTTCTTGTCTATATCAGGTACTGTGTTCTTGTCTATATCAGTGTCAAGTACTGTAGTCTTGTCTATATCAGTGTCAAGTATTGTAGTCTTATCTATATCAGTGTCAAGTACTGTGTTCTTGTCTATATCAGTGTCAAGTATTGTAGTCTTGTCTATATCAGTGTCAAGTACTGTGTTCTTGTCTATATCAGTGTCAAGTATTGTATTCTTGTCTATATCAGTGTCAAGTACTGTGTTCCTGTCTCTATCAGTGTCAAGTTTTGTAGTCTTGTCTATATCAGTGTCAAGTATTGTAGTCTTGTCTATATCAGTGTCAAGTACTGTAGTCTTGTCTATATCAGTGTCAAGTACTGTAGTCTTGTCTTTATCAGTGTCAAGTATTGTAGTCTTGTCTATATCAGTGTCAGGTATTGTAGTCTTGTCTATATCAGTGTCAAGTACTGTAGTCTTGTCTATATCAGTGTCAAGTACTGTAGTCTTGTCTATATCAGTGTCAAGTACTGTAGTCTTGTCTTTATCAGTGTCAAGTATTGTAGTCTTGTCTATATCAGTGTCAGGTATTGTAGTCTTGTCTATATCAGTTTCAAATACTGTGTTCTCGTCTATATCAGTGTCATGTATTGTAGTCTTGTCTATATCAGTGTCAAGTATTGTAGTCTTGTCTATATCAGTGTCAAGGATTGTAGTCTTGTCTATATCAGTGTCAAGTACTGTGATCTTGTCTATATCAGTGTCAAGTACTGTAGTCTTGTCTATATCAGTGTCAAGTACTGTGTTCTTGTCTATATCAGTGTCAAGTATTGTAATCCTGTCTGTATCAGTATCATATGTTTTACTCTTATATCAGGTTCTGTGTTCTTGTCTATATCAGTATCAAGTATTGTAGTCTTACCTGTATCAATATCATATGTTTTACTCTTTTTTATATCAGTAGCAGATATTTTAATCTTTTCTATATCGGTATTGGCTATTGTACTCTTGTGATTGTCACTAGCAGTAAATCAGTTTAAGATATTTTATTCGTGTCTTTATCAGTATCAGGTATTTTACGCTTACCTGTATCAGTATCAGGTATTGTACTCTTGTCTGTATCAGTATCAAATATTGTACTCTTGTCTATGTCAGTATCAGATATTGTACTCTTGTCTGTGTCAGTATCAGATATTGTACTCTTGTCTATGTCAGTATCAGATATTGTACTCTTGTCTGTATCAGTATCAAATATTGTACTCTTGTCTATGTCAGTATCAGATATTGTACTCTTGTCTGTATCAGTATCAGATATTGTACTCTTGTCTATGTCAGTATCAGATATTGTACTCTTGTCTGTATCAGTATCAAATATTGTACTCTTGTCTATGTCAGTATCAGATATTGTACTCTTGTCTATGTCAGTATCAGATATTGTACTCTTGTCTGTGTCAGTATCAGGTATTGAACTCTTGTCTGTGTCAGTATCAGATATTGTACTCTTGTTTGTATCAGTATCAGATATTGTACTCTTGTTTGTATCAGTATAAGATATTGTACTCTTGTCTGTAGCAGTATCAGATATTGTACTCTTGTCTGTAGCAGTATCAGATATTGTTCTTTTGTCTGTAGCAGTATCAGATATTGTACTCTTGTCTATGTCAGTATCAGATATTGTACTCTTGTCTGTAGCAGTATCAGATATTGTACTCTTGTTTGTATCAGTATCAGATATTGTACTCTTGTCTCTGTCAGTATCAGATATTGTACTCTTGTCTGTAGCAGTATCAGATATTGTTCTTTTGTCTGTAGCAGTATCAGATATTGTACTTTTGTCTATGTCAGTATCAGATATTGTACTCTTGTCTGTATCAGTATCAGATATTGTACTCTTGTCTATGTCAGTATCAGATATTGTACTCTTGTCTGTAGCAGTATCAGATATTGTACTCTTGTCTATGTCATTATCAGATATTGTACTCTTGTCTGAGGCAGTATCAGATATTGTCCTCTTGTCTGTGTCAGTATCAAATATTGTACTCTTGTCTGTATCAGTATCAAATATTGTACTGTTGTCTATGTCAGTATCAGATATTGTACTGTTGTCTATGTCAGTATCAGATACTGTACTCTTGTCTATGTCTGTATCAGATACTGTACTCTTGTCTTTGTCACTATCAGGTATTGCACTCTTGTCTGTATCAGTATCAGATATTTTACTCTTGTCTGTGTCAGTATCAGATATTTTACTCTTGTCTGTGTCAGTATCAGATATTGTACTCTTGTCTATGTCAGTATCAGATATTGTACTCTTGTCTATGTCAGTATCAGATATTGTACTCTTTTCTGTATCAGTATCAGATATTGTACTCTTGTCTGTGTCAGTATCAGATACTGTGCTCTTGTCTGTATCAGTATCAGATATTGTACTCTTGTTTGTATCAGTATCAGATATTGTACTCTTGTATGTAGCAGTATCAGATATTGTACTCTTGTCTGTAGCAGTATCAGATATTGTTCTTTTGTCTGTAGCAGTATCAGATATTGTACTCTTGTCTATGTCAGTATCAGATATTGTACTCTTGTCTGTATCAGTATCAGATATTGTACTCTTGTCTATGTCAGTATCAGATATTGTACTCTTGTCTATGTCAGTATCAGATATTGTACTCTTGTCTATGTCAGTATCAGATACTGTACTCTTGTCTGTGTCAGTATCAGGTATTGTACTCTTGTCTGTATCAGTATCAGATATTGTACTCTTGTCTGTGTCAGTATCAGATATTGTACTCTTGTCTGTATCAGTATCAGATACTGTGCTCTTGTCTGTATCAGTATAAGATATTGTACTCTTGTTTGTATCAGTATCAGATATTGTACTCTTGTCTGTGGCAGTATCAGATATTGTACTCTTGTCTGTAGCAGTATCAGATATTGTTCTTTTGTCTGTAGCAGTATCAGATATTGTACATTTGTCTATGTCAGTATCACATATTGTACTCTTGTCTGTATCAGTATCAGATATTGTACTCTTGTCTATGTCAGTATCAGATATTGTACTCTTGTCTATGTCAGTATCAGATATTGTACTCTTGTCTATGTCAGTATCAGATATTGTACTCTTGTCTATGTCAGTATCAGATATTGTACTCTTGTCTGTGTCAGTATCAGATATTGTACTCTTGTCTATGTCAGTATCAGATATTGTACTCTTGTCTATGTCAGTATCAGATATTTTACTCTTGTCTATGTCAGTATCAGATATTGTACTCTTATCAATGTCAGTATAAGATATTGTACTCTTGTCTATGTCATTATCAGATATTGTACTCTTGTTTATGTCAGTATCAGATATTGTACTCTTATCAATGTCAGTATAAGATATTGTACTCTTGTCTGTGTCAGTATCAGATATTGTACTCTTGTCTGTATCAGTATCAGATATTGTACTCTTGTCTATGTCAGTATCAGATATTGTACTCTTGTCTGTGTCAGTATCAGGTATTGTTCTCTTGTCTGTGTCAGTATCAGGTATTTTACTCTTGTCTGTATCAGTATCAGATATTGTACTCTTGTCTATGTCAGTATCAGATATTGTACTCTTGTCTGTATCAGTATCAGATATTGTACTCTTGTCTATGTCAGTATCAGATATTGTACTCTTGTCTGTATCAGTATCAGATATTGTACTCTTGTCTATGTCAGTATCAGATATTGTACTCTTGTCTATGTCAGTATCAGCTATTGTATCAGTTATTTGAATCTTATCTGTATTAGCAGTATAAGGTATTTTACTTTTGTCTGTATCAATATCAGGTATTTTAATATTGCCTGAATGAGTATCAGTTATGCACATGATCTACAAATCCTACTCAAAATCACTCAACAAATTTGCGGAAGCAAAAACAGTTACCGCAGCATGCCCATCAGAGATAACTAAGGTAAATTGCTTACCACAGAACACAAAACAAAACTTGCAGTGGACGAAACACTTCTCTAACCTCCTGAATAGACCTGATCCTGAACATCCCCCAGATATTTAGCCAGCCTCTCAGGACCTTGACATTATTACTGAAACCACCAAGCAAACAAGAAATCCCTAAAGCTATCCACACTTTAAAGAACAACAAAGCACCAGGCAAGGACGAACTGCCAGCAGAACTTCTCAAAGTAAACACCAACACATCTGCTAGCATTCTAGAGCCATTGTTCAAGGATATTTAGGAAAAAGAAGTGTTGCCTGATGATTGGACTGAAGGAACAATAGTCCAAATCACCAAAAAAAAAAAAAAAAAAAGGAGATTTAACAGACTGCAATAATTGGAGGGGAATCACTCTACTCTTGCTACCAAGCAAATTCTTTTGTCAAATCATCATAATGCGGCTTAAAAAGGGAGTAGGGAGCTTACAAGTGGAACAGGCAGGATTCAGAAAAGGTAGAGGAACATTTGAACACATCTTTACCCTACGTAACATTTTAGAATAATGCATTAAATGGCAAAGAAGTGTATATATTAATTTTGAGGACTTTGGGAAAGCTTTTGACAGCGTCCATATAGAAAGTCTCTGGAAAATGTTACAACATTATGGAATCCCAGAAAAGATAGTCAACATAATTGCTCTCTTCTCTAAAGACTTTTCTTGCAGTATAAAAAATTACAACACATCTTTCCCAGTAAAGACAAGTGTGAGACAGTGATATGTTATGTCATCCTTTCTTTCTAACATTGTGATTGATTGCATACTAAAATAAAGAACACAGTAGACAAGACATCGAGAGGAATACGATGGACTCCATTCACCATGCTTGACGACCTTGATTTTGCAGATGGTATAGCACTTTTGTCACATAAACATGAATATATACTAGAGAAAAGTAGCATACACAGCACAGCAGAAATGTTAGGACTGAGAATAAATACAAGAAAAACTAAGATATAACAAACAGTCCAAATCAACATCCAGTGATCAGAAATAACCAAACACTTGAAAATGTAGAACAGTTCACATATCTTGTCAGTGTGGTGTCCCTACTGGGAGGGACAGAGGAAGACATACAATCACGGTTGAACAAAGCTGGAGCCTCTTTTGGAAGGATGAAGCAAATCTGGAAATCCAACAGTTAACTGCAGAGGAACAAGCTTCCACTCTACATCATTTTGCCAGTTCGTCTTTATGGAGCAGAATGCTGGAGAACGAACAAAAAAGGAGGCGCACAAACTATCCACCTTCCACCACACATGTCTACCTAGAATAATCAAAATTGTCTGGCCAGGTGGAGATATCACAGCCTAGTTGTAAACTACAACAACTGCTATTTTAAGGATGGAAGATGAAGCAGAGGAAGAGAAGATTCTAACAGAAGGTTCATGCGCACAACCACAAATGCATGTAAGTAAGTAAACGTGAAGGAGCTTTATTCACCCCTTTAGCACATCAGGCGTTCAGTGCTGGACCTAATTTGTGTAGACCAGTCGGCACTCGGTGGGTGATGTGGTCAGCCTTGACTTCCCAGGATATTTCCTGTTACCCATGTATAAGCTGTGTTGACCTGGGGGCCTGCGTAAGTTTTTAATGCATGCATGTACAGCACACACAGTTGAACTAGTTATAGAGCTTTGCCAGGGTACAGTAAAGGTAAGTTTCTGTACTCTTCTTCTTTGCGTTCACCAGCTGTAAACTCTGGCTTAAAATTCTGGTTGTTAGTCCCACCTCTGGACTTTAGACTTGTTCCATAACCTGTGTGTTGCATGCACATCAGTTTTACAGATCCGACTTATTTGTAGGCAGACTTTTTGTTCCTTGCCTAATTCCTGTAGTCTGTTTCATTTCCTTGCTTTGCTGATGTATTATTGCAGTTTGCTGATGTATTATTCCAGTTTGCTGATGTATTATTCCAGTTTGCTGAAGTATTATTGCAGTTTGCTGATGTATTATTCCAGTTTGCTGATGTATTATTGCAGTTTGCTGATGTATTATTGCAGTTTGCTGATGTATTATTGCAGTTTGCTGATGTATTATTGCAGTTTGCTGATGTATTATTCCAGTTTGCTGATGTATTATTGCAGTTTGCTGATGTATTATTGCAGTTTGCTGATGTATTATTGCAGTTTGCTGATGTATTATTGCAGTTTGCTGATGTATTATTGCAGTTTGCTGATGTATTATTGCAGTTTGCTGATGTATTATTGCAGTTTGCTGATGTATTATTGCAGTTTGCTGATGTATTATTGCAGTTTGCTGATGTATTATTGCAGTTTGCTGATGTATTATTCCAGTTTGCTGATGTATTATTGCAGTTTGCTGATGTATTATTGCAGTTTGCTGATGTATTATTCCAGTTTGCTGATGTATTATTGCAGTTTGCTGATGTATTATTCCAGTTTGCTGATGTATTATTGCAGTTTGCTGATGTATTATTGCAGTTTGCTGATGTATTATTGCAGTTTGCTGATGTATTATTGCAGTTTGCTGATGTATTATTGCAGTTTGCTGATGTATTATTGCAGTTTGCTGATGTATTATTGCAGTTTGCTGATGTATTATTGCAGTTTGCTGATGTATTATTCCAGTTTGCTGATGTATTATTGCAGTTTGCTGATGTATTATTGCAGTTTGCTGATGTATTATTGCAGTTTGCTGATGTATTATTGCAGTTTGCTGATGTATTATTGCAGTTTGCTGATGTATTATTGCAGTTTGCTGATGTATTATTGCAGTTTGCTGATGTATTATTGCAGTTTGCTGATGTATTATTCCAGTTTGCTGATGTATTATTGCAGTTTGCTGATGTATTATTCCAGTGTGCTGATGGAGATTGTATCCTCCTCAGATATAAGGATGGCGAACTCAAGTTCTGTCAGACCTAGACTTTCATCAGTACAGCTAGCCAGTTCAACGTCACAACCCAGGCCTAAGTAAGTTGTCTGGACACCTCTGTAGCAACTCAGCCACAGTTGATCTGATTGGGAAATTAGCTAACTTTGTTAGATTGAACTTAAGTTCACATTAATTGAAGTATACCAGCTTTTTTGCAATTGGACATAAGTTTAAATTAATGCAAGTATGCCAGCTTTTTTTTTAAAAATGAATTGGACATTAGTTGAAAATTTGTGGAAGAAAGCCAGCTTTGTTGGAACTGAACATGAGTTCGTATTAATGGAAGTATACAGCTTTGTTGGAATTAGACATAAGTTCATATTAATGAATGTGTGCCAGCCTTGTTGGAATTAGACATAAGTTCATATTAATGAATGTGTGCCAGCTTTGTTGGAATTAAACATAAGTTCATATTAATGAATGTGTGCCAGCCTTGTTGGAATTAGACATAAGTTCATATTAATGGAAGTATGCCAGCTTTGTTGGATTTAGACATAAGTTCATATTAATGAATGTGTGCCAGCTTTGTTGGATTTAGACATAAGTTCATATTAATGAATGTGTGCCAGCTTTGTTGGAATTAGACATAAGTTTAAATTAATGCAAGTATGCCAGCTTTGTTGGATTTAGACATAAGTTCATATTAATGAATGTGTGCTAGCTTTGTTGGAATTAGACATAAGTTCATATTAATGAATGTGTGCCAGCTTTGTTGGATTTAGACTTAAGTTCATATTAATGAATGTGTGCCAGCTTTGTTGGATTTAGACATAAGTTCATATTAATGAATGTGTGCCAGCTTTGTTGGAATTAGACATAAGTTTATATTAATGAATGTGTGCCAGCTTTTTTGGAATTAGACATAAGTTCATATTAATGAATGTGTGCCAGCTTTTTTGGAATTAGACATAAGTTCATATTAATGAATGTGTGCCAGCTTTGTTGGAATTAGACATAAGTTTATATTAATGAAAGTGTGCCAGCTTTGTTGGAATTAGACATAAGTTCATATTAATGAAAGTGTGTGCCAACTTTGTTGGAATTAGACATGTTTCTCCCCCCCCCCCCCCCCACCCTCCCCCGCCTACCAAAATGAAATCTAACATGGCCAATATACCAATGATTTTGACATGCAGCCATGTAGAAAGTTCACTGTTTGTTGATCATATGACCTAACCTGCGTGTTGTGTGCACATCTGTTTTGATAAACTGACTTATTTGTACGCAGATAAATGGTTCTTCGCCTTTCAGGCAGATGCACTCTGACTTTGAAGGAAAGCTCCAGTTAGCCGACTCTTTCGACAGGCCTGTTGGAGAGGCTGTAGATCTGCTCCCTACAAAAGGACCCTGGAACCCGTGGGGGGATGCTGTTTATGAGCCAGTTCCCCTTTATGCTGAGATCATGTAGGATGCATATATTCTCAAGAAATACAAACAAACTCTTGTCACTTGCAGATCTAGTAGTAACCAGTACCGCCAGAGTAAAAAAGGGAGCAAGAAGACGCCCAGTTGCAGAGATGCTGAAGACTATCAGGGTGTCCAGGGCCTCTCGAACCCCCAGCAGACAGGACATATCAGCATAATGGCCCCACACAGCTTACCTGGCTCCGCAACCCAACCCCTGTCCCATGTACCTTCCACTTCTTCAAATAGGTATGTTTTAGGTGACATTAAAGTTTATTCGATGGATCAGCGTCATGGCAGATGAGTGTAACCCATAAGTTCTCTGTTCAATTTGCAACTCAAGCCCATTTTCAGTGAAATTGTGACAGGGAAATTTATTCAGGGACCAAAATATTGAAAGTGGGGATCGTCATGGGCATGTATGGATTTGTCTATCCATTCTTCCTTCTGATATGAAAATTGACTCTAGATATTTAATTCGCAAAGCTAAAATAAGCAAGTGATTTTACATGTCTGAGCTCCCATGTAGAAAGATCACTGTTTTTGACATTGATCTATCTGTGGGGCCACTAG